GAATCTTGAATTTTCTCGAAAGTGAGACTTAATCAGTAATGGGTTACAAGCAGCGGCCATGGAGCAAGAATGGAGGGCAAAAAAATTGCAGCAACAAGCTGGGTAAGGAAAGGAAAAAGAATATCAAAATCAAGAAAACTGTACAACAACCAGAGCAAAATAGTATGTACTCGATAACTTCATTAGAGATATGATTCTATCAAGCCCTCTCTCAATATAGATTGCGTGACGTGGACGACGCGATAAGGATTTGTTGAAAAAAATGTTGTCCAAATGTGATGAAGGGTGTAGCTAGAAATACTTTCTGCTTGGATTACTTCGATTTGATTGCTTAGAGAGTATAATTTTAGGGGTGACATTTTTTAACCGAAAACTGAAAATCGAACCAAACCAAATTAAACCGACGAGAAAATAATTTGAACCGTACTGAACCGCTTGTAACGGTAATTGACTATCGGTTACCGAATCACTATTGGTATGGTATCGGTTTGAGAGTTCGGTAAAACCGATACTGAACCGATAAGGTAAAAAAATTTAAAACAAATATTTATTTTTTAAATATTAAAACAAGGATTAGTTGTTTAGTGTTAAAAAATTGAAATAAGGGTTCAACTCTACCTAAATCTCAAAATGACGAGAAAAATACCACTATTTATCGCCTCATTCACCTTCTAATCGAAACATTGTCGGTTTACCAGTTCCACTCCTTCTAGAGAAGATGCTACCATTACTGTAGTCTATTCTCACACCACCGTTACTAGATAAGTTAGTTGAACTGTATCACAAATTTTATTTCTTGCATGTTAGCAATATATTGTTTTATTAGTTGCGTTTACCACAAAAACCATAATTTAATTACACTTAAACTAACTTTTATATATTAAATTTAAACTTTTTAATCCTTCAATGGATTTGTGAGTCTTAATATTTAATTGGTAAGAGTGAAAAAAAATTACAAAAATAACGAGAAAAGTAAATACTAGCATTTTTTTTTGTGCTCAAAATCGGTTCGGTTTTTTAGGTATAAAACTGATACCGAACTGAAACCGAACCGAGTTTTCAATTACTGAATTTTTTGTAACCGACTTTAATCGATTCGGTATCGGTTTTGCATTCCGATGTTACTGACATTGTCTGTACGGTATTGATATATGCTTCTCGGTTCGGTAACCGAACTGATACTGCTCATATATAATTTAATTAATACAATACACGTATATTACACGAGTACGTAACATCATAGTTGGGTAATAAAAAAAAAAATATATATATATATATATATATATATATATATGATTTGGCGCAAAAAATCCAATTAAGAGTAGATTTCCACTGTTCACTCTATCCGACATTTTCTGCTTTAATATCCAAAGCCCACCGAAAGTAAAGTCCTACTGCTGGACCATATGCTATAGGTTCGTTGTAGCCTGGTTTTTGTGGGACCCATCATCATTAATTAAATGACAGACCTGTTTTTGCTGAAATTAATTAAAATTGAAGCCCAGTGTAGTAATTGAAACATGATAACAAAATTTTGTGAACTTGGGCCCTCCACTAATCGTAGTGGTCATTTTTATACAAAAATTTCATGTATGACCATGTACGATTGTGAGAAACCTCATATCTGCACGGCTGCACCTCTATTTAGTGGCTCAGAAGTCATTCGGTCGTGAGTGTGTAAGATTTGTTGTAATACTGATTGTCAATATGTAAGATCGATTTGTAAGATAGATAGAAAAACAAAGAAAGAAGTAGAGAAGAATAAGAGAGAAGAGATACGCCGTTAAAAACCCTCATCTTATTCATTCACTTGAGCCCTATATATAAGGGAATACAATGTACATGAGTAAAGACCTAATAGGCTTCTGGCCCATACCTACGAATCCTATATCTAGGTAATGTCCACAAATTAATATTTACAACACTCCCCCTTGGACATTACTGCATCATGTCTATGCCTCGTTAAAAACTTCACTGCAAAACCCTGTAGGAAAAAGCAGTCGAAGAAAAGAGTACATAACATATGCAAATTTATGTGTTACACATGCTGCCTCGTTAAAAACCTCACTAAGTAAAACCCAATGGGAAATAACTTAGTCAAGGGAAAAAGAGTACAACACCGGCCTAATGGCCTAATTTTCAGAATTATAATTAACCTTCCGGGCTCGATCTTCGAGACTTAGTTATCGCCCCCCTGAAGGGAAAACCTTTTTAGTTACATTCATAATTGTATGTTGCTCCCCCTCAAGGTAAGAGTTTCTAACATAAAATCGTCATTTGTTGCTCTTCCGGAGTTAATATAGATTCAAAAATATCATCAAATGTATTTCTATGATTTATTTGTGTAACACAAACTAAGTTATCTTCAGGATAAATATGGGGTAAATTTCAATAACCAATAGTAAATAGTTCATACAATTTGAGATGTATATAACCAATTAAGGACTCATACTTCGATGATCAATTATACAATTGATGTCCTTATCCACCGATATCATATATCAAGTCAGACGACAGCCATGCACCACCTGTGTCCCACGCCCGAAGGCGTTCCTCCCTTTCAAGAGGATTAGCGGGCAAGGGCCAACTTAATCCTCTTCCCCAGGGATCTCAGACGAGGGACCTGGGAGAGCCGCCGACTCCAACTACTGTCCATGTATGATCCATACTAGATCTGACCAACTGCCCATACTACCTCCTCTACGTTCTTGACAGCCCATCTTTGTCTCAGTAGAGTCTTTCAGTGGCATGTTTTGGTCCTCTTCCCCATTACTTAGAAAAAGTGAGCCACCGGTTCAGGTACAAGCCCGAAAATTGGATCCCGGTCTAATAAATCCGAATAGATTAGATTAAGAAAACTCAACATACATGAAAACATAATGGGATATTCTCAAATTTATCATAATATCTCTTTAAGAAGAGAAATAGTAAATCTTGCTAGCAAATTCATCGCAAATGCAGTATCATGTCTGATGCAGTTTGCGTGATAAAAGTACAACACAATTTCGCTTAGTAAATAAACTTCAGGTCGTTTGTGGACTTCAAATCCATTGGAACTTCAGGTCCTATAATATTCTCATTTGTCTCTTTGGATCTTTATCACTTTGTCAAATTCCAAATATTTGACATTCATTGGTGTTACATTTTTACATCTCTGAAAGAAATTCAAGTATATTGGTTAGGTAAAAAATATTCCTTCTAGGAGATGCTCGATCTACAAGTCGAGATAATACTCTTTGGTATTTAACCAAAAGTTTCATTCTTACTCTGTCTATAAGCATGAGCTAACTTATTTAATCTTTTACATAGTGTTCACCACATAGTCTATTTGACCGAGATGATCATTTTGTATATTATCATTATGTACACAAGGTTCTACCTTGAACTTTTCTTACTTTACTTCTTCTGGAAGAATTTAGTTGGTTGTACCACATCTTACCAACACTTTAAATAATTAAACTATTTATTATTTCATTATCTTTCATCTCGGTTACTCGAGTCCATCCAGGACTTTCACATATGACTCAATAGTCATGGTAATAATGCTGCCATAAATAACTTGCGGAATCATTGATAATGAGAGAACTTATCTAAATGAATATATGGGTCTCTGCATAAACCCATGAGCATAATCTCGCTATATTTACATCATACCACCACATCACATATTTCATATAAATATTTATTATCCTTCTGGGATATGTTATCCTCCTGGGATATATCGTGTAGCGAGTGAAAGCTCTGCCTTAATTTTTCTTTCTATCTCAATCAACTTAGCGCTTCTAGTACTTTCATTCTTTTGATCCGGATCATTATTTGAGATAGAAAAGAAATCACATAGGCAAGTATGTTGTCGACAACTGATATTCAATTTATATTTTTCTCTCAAGCATATATGCAACTTCATATTTACTAGCCATATTCATAACCATTTCCCATAACATCTAATTTCGGCATTTCCGCGTTTCCAGTACTATAATGGTTTGATGCACGTGCAAGATGTACTAGATCAACTCTTCAGGAGTTTC